GCCGGCGCGCCCCAACTACTTGGGCCCAAGTTCGCTCAGGCCCCCGCCTGCTCCCGCTTCCCCTTCTTCCCTGCAGCCGCAGGCTCTGCGGACTGAGCCCGCCCCGGGTTCGAGTGTCGGCGCCCCAGCCCCGGCCCGGGGGCGGCCTGGGTGTGAGGGAATTTTCCACTCGTTCCTTTCTAGGGCTCAGACCGGTTCAGTGCTTCTCCCACTCGGATGTTCCTGCGGCTTAAAGAGTCCGCAGCGAGCACCGAAATACCTCTTCCAGGGCGGGTTTTCGGGGGTGTGTATGTGTGTGCCGGTGTGGGGAGGGCAGCGGAAAGAAGAGCTATTTTGGAAAAAAAAAGTCATGTTTCTGTGGCACCGGTAGGATACCTTTAACAAATGAGGGAGAGGTGGGGGGGAGAGAAGGAGAAGGAGGAGGAGGAGGAGGAGGAAGGTGGGGGGCGGGGGGTGTGGAGAGGCTGGTGCAAAAGGAATGCGCGTTTGCAGGAGGAGGAGTAAAGCGATGATTGTGTAATTAAATAATAAAACAATCCTTAAGTCTGATTTGGAGAGAGCTCGAGCGGGGTCCAGAGGGTGGAACCGGTGAATTTTTCAACTTCCAAGTTTTGCAACGAAAGAAAGCAAGAGAGGGAGGGAAAAAAAAGAGCTCAGAGCAGAAAAGAGAGGAGTTTGGAGCCGAGCGGGAGAGCGGGATTTATCGTTTGGAATTTTTCAGGAGATCGTTTTGATACCCCTGGGCTCTGGGCAGCGGCGGCAACAGCAGCCTCCACGCTCGGCCGGGTCAGACGCGGGGCGAGGTGGGCGGGCGGGCAGCCGGGCGCCGAAGACCCGGTGCGGGCGGCAGCGGCGGCGGCTGCAGCCGGGGACCACGCGCCGCGAGCCTTCTCCGCCCCGGAGATCAGCGCTCGCGCCCCCTCCCTCACCCCGGCCTCTCCCTTCTCCCCCACCCCACCCCGCCCCCACCCCGGCCCTCTCCCGCGCGCGCTCCGCCACCCGCGCGCACTCGCTCACGCTGCCCCTCGCGCACACACATGGTCGGCTCGCGGCAAAGTTTCGCCTGCGATCACCACTCCGGGATCCTGCCGCAGTGCTTGGGGCTGTAACCTTGAACTTTCCCAGCGCGGTGACACATTCTCCCCGCTCTCCCGCCCGCCCGCCCGCCCTCCTGCGCCCCCCTCCCCGCCTTTTTTGAAAAAGCATTTTACCACCAACCACCACCCCAATCCAACCCACACCGAACCTTCGTGCACCCCCTACCCCCCAACAACAACAACAACTGCAAAATAGAAAACAAATTCCCAAACCCAGGCGAAAAGCAGCCAACACCGGCGGCGGCGGCGGCCTCGGCAAGCACGGCCAGCGCGCTCGGACTGCAAGAGGGTTAAAAGTGTAGATTGGATTTCACCCCTGGAAATCTAGCACGCCGAGTGAACTTGAATCTTTGGCTATTTAAGGAGGACTGGGTTTGTTGTGAAGTTGCGGTGATCCAGCGCAGAGCCCTGTCCTGATTGATCGCATCGCGGGGCTCAGATGACTGTAAAATGAATAGATGAAATTCTTGCTTCTCGAAGATTTTCTTGGGCATCTCCGGGAAAGTGCGTTTTAAGGCGAAGTCATGATGTATTCTCCCATCTGTCTCACTCAGGTACATGTCTCGGTCGCTTTCTCGAGCTTTCTCTCTGCCCCGAAATGCCTTTGTTTTGTTTTGTTGCGGACAATTAACGGCTTGAGTTAACCTCCGCACATCCCCGTCCCTGGAAGAAGTGGCCTGGAGTTACAGCAGGCGTCGCGGGGCGGCGTGGGAGCCGGAGAGCGGTCCCTCGCCCACGGCCACTGCGAGCGCCCAGCCCCGCGCCCTGGGCATGGAGCGCGGACGCTGGGCCGGGCAAGGCCTCCGGGGGTGGGCAGGGCCGGGATCTGTAAGTGCGAGGCCCAGTGCGGCCCCCCAAGTGCCCGTTGTGGTGCGGCATCCCCGCCCGGGGTGCCCGCAGCCCCTCTCGGCAGCTTGCGCACTTAGGTGGACTCGGGCTTTGGAGGACTGAGCTTTTAAAAACAGCCAGTGAACTTGGGCTAGGGGACTGTAGCTCGAGTCTGTGTGGGCGCCGCTGGACACTGCTGCAGGCGGTGGGCGGGCGACGAAGCGAGTCGGAGGTTGTGGTCCGGGGACCCATTCCTTTGCTTTATTTGGGGATCTGAAACCCTGGTCCATAGTGACCCGCTGCACTTTGGGGTTTCCAGTGACCGCACCACAAAGGCAATATTTACGTTGACACGAGTTAGTTGGTCTTGGTGATTGTTAAGGAGTTTTAGAACGTGTTCATTTTGTGGAAACCTGTTCACTTGACGATATTTGGGCGTAGCTCGTAAGGCATTTTAAGTAATGCTGGTAAAAGTAAGGTCATTTTTTTCTACTTTGAGAATTGTCCTAAGACCTTAGGAATAATGTTATGAAATAAAACACTGGTTTTATACTTTTTAAAAACACGATTTGTATCACTTTAAGCCAGACGGTCAAATAGAAAAGTGGCGAGATCTGACAGACTTACCTGGGGGCAGTTTTCATCGCTGCCCAGGAAACTCACAACTGACGAAGTAGCTAAAATATCTTAACCCAGAACTGTTATTTGAGGCAGTATTTTAAACCTCTAAAGGTATGTGGCAGCTTATTTCAGCTTTTAGGAAGATGTGTCACCGTTGGTAATTGATAACCATTTTCTTTGACATTGCCATAAAAACTAATAATTTAAAGAAGTGTCAGCCAGTCTTGGGCGTGTTAAAATTTTAAAAATACCTAATATCACGATGATGCATTTTTTAATGGACAAATAATTAAGATTTCAATTGTATGACAATTAGAAGCCATTGTGATTCAAAAGGACTGAGGCATTCATAAATTGTGAATGAAGATGAAAACAATGATAAGGCTTATTCAGTGATTGGATACAGTCCTGTAGCTTTTTGGCTGACACATTTTTTATTGTTTATATTTTGTTTGGCATCTGAGTATGATTAACTTAGATATGGCTATTTTCAGCAAGTAAACATGCACTTTAATTTAACAAAACTGGAAAAATGAGTTGCTGAGCTATTTGTATTTTAAAAACCATGAATGATAATAGCCAATAAATATGATGAAACTGTTTCAGGTATAACGAATTGCCTCTAGTTGTAAAAGTTACCATTAATATTACCCATCAACCGGATATATTTTTCTCTCTTTCTGATAAGCTGTGTTAACTTGATATAATTTTTACACTGTGATCAAGTAAAACAAATCAAAGCAAGATTTTCACTTACAGAGTATAGCATCACTTATTCTCACCTGTAAAAGACTGAGTAATTGTGCATTTCTCTATATTTCTAGCATCAGCTTTTCAGAAACATTGCTAGCAATTACATTGCATTTTTAGTCTCCTCCAAATATGTATTGAAAAGTCACTAGTTTTATCTTAATTTGTGTAAGTTAAAAATAATATTGCAGCATCGAGACATATGGAATGTTGGGATCATATACAGCATAATCATTCAGTTATCACATTAGTATTCAAAGATACATACTTAACAACAATAACTTGTGATGACTAATATCCTCTACTATTTTAATAATATAAATCTAGGCTTATGTATACAAGGCCTATATCAGGGAAGGTATTTTAGCTTAAGAATTCTCACTTCACTAAGCTCCATGTGACTTTGCAGGTAATGTAGGTGTTATAAAAGTGAGGCCACATTAATAGTGTTACTTTTGTATCAGATCAGTGGTTTTGTATCACAAGAGCCTAGTAGCTGTATGTAGCACAGCATGTCTCAGGACATGTAAATTGCAAAATAGAGTATCATTCTTAATTGGTTATAAACTTTTAAAAGTATCTCAGTTGTTGGAATAATGTATCTAGGGTTTAGAAAAAAAAGGACTTACCATTAAATGTTATGTTTAGCAAAATGATATGCTACAGAATCAGCACATCAATAACCAATATTTATACACCAGTATAAATCAGATATAAAAGAAAAATTAAGAGCTATCATATGATTTAATATTTGTTTAAAAATAATGTGTAAACCATTAATAATATAACTTTCAATTGGCATGATGGCATTAAATATATTTTTCTTTCATTGCTTTTAAGTTCTTTAGGTACATTTTTTTGCATGATTTATTGTTATATAGCAATGCGCCAAGAACACCTAGTATTTACTCTTCTACCTCTATGTTGGTCTAATTATCCATTCCTTTCATGGAAGCGGAAGAAAAATAAATATTCCTGGTGGAATTAAGACTCTTTACTTTTATATCTGAAATTTGTAACTTTTTTATTTACTTTGTCAATTTAGTTCAACTAAGGGAAGTTTTAAAAGAGAATTACTGAACATCAATGCGTTTTACTAAAAATTCTGAAAGAGCAAAGTTGCATATTACTTTTGTATACAGTTGTTTGATTTTAAATCACTTACATGTTTTGCTTTTTAAAAAAATTTTATAATTGCTTAATATTATTGTAATAATCCACTGCTAGTTAGGATATTTGAAAACCTTAATCACCTTTTTAAAAAACATTTTTGTATCAGGACAGTTACTATGTTCCATATTCATGTCACTCATAATCTTTAAGACTCTAGTGCTACTCAGCATTAGGAAACAGTCACACTTGGGAGATGACATTTAGGCGTGTTAATACAGAAATGTATGTGACTTATAGCAAACCTCAATTTACAGTCATTTTTGGAGGATATGTCCCCTTGTCAAATAAGTGCTTCACTTGAATTCACATAATAGTGAAACCCTGAACAATATCATAAGGCAAATTGGCAGCCTGAGAAAGTTTGCTACTTTTCTCAAAGAAAGCATGTTTTAAAACAATATTTGGCAGCATTGACAGCAGACTCAAAGGAACGTTTAAAAATTGTATGCATTTGCTAAGAATTTTCAAATTCAACCTTCAAATTTGGATTTTGGTTGTTTAAAATAACTCATTAAAATTTTGAGCTTTCTTGCATGATAGATTATGTTTATAATCAAATATTGAAACAAACAAATTTGATCAAAACTGTGATGTCTTTATAAGAAAATGAAATGTCATTGAACATAGTACTTAAGGACATAAGTACTTACGTGTTACCACATGGCTTAATATTTGTTACATAATATTGCATTTTTAAAAGCATAGCAAGGGTAGAATGAGTGAGGCAAAGCCCACCCACTCCACCTCATGTGCTCTTTACATTCTCAAGGTTTTAGTTTATGGGTGCATATATGTGTGTTTTTTAGTCATATCAATAAATCATAGTAAAAGATTATAGGAAGTGAGTTTCCAAAGCACATTTAAGTCCGCATTTCCTTGAGCAGGCTTTCTTTTTGCATATATTCCTAAAGGGGATAAACAAAGTTTTTGTAGTTACAGTGAAAGCTAAAAGCATGGCATCAGAAAGTGTATGGAGATAGGGAGGTCTTATCATGGGATGTGGTTGCTGTGAGCAGGGCTGCCTTCCCACACAAAGAACAGATTGTGGTTTAACTCTTTCCATGGCCTAGTTTAATGTGCTCGCATAGTAACTGAATTGTTCAAATCTCTGCTGGAAACTACTGATCGGTTTAATGATTTCCTCTATGGCATTTGGTTATGCCTCATGCTGTGATGTAATCATCAGCATTCTGTATTGTTATAAAATTTTGATTCATACTTATCCTGGTGAAGGAACACTTACAGCAATGTTAGAACGCTTTTGATAACTACATTATTGATTGGATGGGACATGTACTCCTTCCATATCTGAAGTACAAACAGCTAACATGTTGCAGTCTGTAGCATTAAAACTTTGAATTTCTTCTTAAAAATACATTCATATCTATATTGGATTTTTTTTGACACCTTCTTTGTTAAAGAGTCATTAGTTGTACTTTCATCATATTTACCTAATGGAATTAGTTAGTCTTCTGTTAAACATAATCTATTCCACGTAGTTCAGGGTGATTAACATGAGTATGTAAATTCTAACTTGGGATACAATCAGAGAGAGTTATTTTGTAGTTGGGCTGACAATATAGTCAATATGGTCAGAAAAGTGGTGGTGGAAGTTCTCATTTGCTTGAAATCTTGGCTTATTGCATACATACGGTGTGCATGCACTGGACGTTAAGCTCTTTCTCTTTGAACAGTAATAGGCGTAAGCTTTTAAGACAGGTTTTACCTAAATCAGGAAGTAATGAAACTGACTGCACTGGGAAGTGACTTGAAATATCTGTAGGTAAAGATTATCCACCATTCCTCACTGATCCCGTCCTTTAAAAAAAGGCTTGGATGAAACAGGCAGGAAAAATGCAGGAGCCTAAAGGTAAACTACTTAATTCAAAATATTGGTACTCAATAGTATATGTACCTGCGAATTCACATGCACGTGCATATATGCACCCACAGTTCTAGCTGATAATTCATCTACATGGCAAATGAATTGTATAGATTCCACAAAAGCAGTAACTGACCAGCAGTGCACTCCTGGTGTCACCCCACCACAGCATGCAGAGACACAAAGAATGTAAAGTTGGTGCCAAGTTGCCATTTTTCATTGTTCACCTCAGATTGATTTTTAAGAGGTTTAGAATAATTGCTATACTCATGTGATCGGTGAACAAATTAACGGACTCTGTGGGGCTGCATATTCTATAGGGAAGCTGCTGGAAGAACATTCATGTAATTTTTGTTTTCAAGTTTGAAAACTTCTATTTAAAAATGCAAGAGTGTATGTGAGAAAGCACAAGAGTGCAAGTGTGTGTGTGTTGGGAGCTGGCGTTGGTAGTGTGGGGAGAGAATGCACTGCTCAAAGTATGGAAACCTTCTGTTCAGGACACAGATACAACGAGCTATGTCCTTTGCCCACTTTCCCTCACTGTATACTGGTTTCTCTAGTTACCACTCTTGGAATGGTGCTGTTTCAGTGTTGGAATGTTGGACGTTTGATAAGAAAATGGATCAAGTTTAATGGCGCATGCTCTTTGTGCCACCAGCAGCCTCTTGCTGAGAGCATGCTCCAAAAGCGGGAACTGTGTGGCATTACACTGAGCATCTATATGCTTTGTGTTTCTGTGCCACAGAGAAGAGAAATGAACTGTGGCATCGCTCCTGCCTTCTGAACAGCTCTGCTCCGATTAAAAAAAAAAAATCTCACTGTGTTCTTTGTAAAATGGTACTGCATAGTGTTAGTTGGTCAATCAAATATTGAAATATTATATTAGGTGCCAAGCACCTAAGTTAGTTGCATATATTTTAAAGAATGTAGAATGCATGGCATTGGGTTGGAAACAAGGGGGATGGGGCCAGAGTGTAATACAAAATATAAACCTTATTTTCTTTATAGGAGGGAGAATTGACCTGTGAATTTTGGTGGAAAGGGGACAGCTGGGCATACTTTACTTTCTTCTTGTCCTGCTATTTTGATAATTTTTAAATAAGAAAAGAATGTTATTTTCATGTATAACTTTTGGTACTGAATTGGAAACGGATTGTGGTCTTATTTTCTTATTTTTTGAGCTTTTAAAATTAAACTGACTATGCACATCTTTTCCTCACCCCTCTGTCTTTCGCAGGATGAATTTCACCCATTCATCGAGGCACTTCTTCCACATGTCCGTGCAATTGCCTATACTTGGTTCAACCTGCAGGCTCGAAAACGCAAGTACTTTAAAAAGCATGAGAAGCGAATGTCAAAGGATGAAGAAAGAGCAGTCAAAGATGAGCTTCTCAGTGAAAAGCCTGAAATCAAACAGAAGTGGGCATCCAGGCTCCTGGCCAAACTGCGCAAAGATATTCGCCAGGAGTATCGAGAGGACTTTGTGCTCACCGTGACTGGCAAGAAGCACCCGTGCTGTGTCTTATCCAATCCCGACCAGAAGGGTAAGATTAGGAGAATCGACTGCTTGCGACAGGCAGACAAAGTCTGGCGTCTGGATCTAGTCATGGTGATCCTGTTCAAAGGCATCCCCTTGGAAAGTACCGATGGAGAGCGGCTCATGAAATCCCCACATTGCACAAACCCAGCACTTTGTGTCCAGCCACATCATATCACAGTATCAGTTAAGGAGCTTGATTTGTTTTTGGCATACTACGTGCAGGAGCAAGGTAGGAGCAGATTGTTCTTTTTTCTAGCACGGCAAACACTGCACACAGACCTCTGTAGACAGAGTATCTGGCTTGAGTTAGATGGTTCTCAAGGCCCCTAGATATCCTCCACCCTCTCTGGGTACAGTAGGGTATCCGCTTTCACTCACATGTCCACTGCTATGTGCGAGCCATGTAAATAGACACGGGGCTTTTATACCTGGATAGGCTTGGATACTTAAGAAAGACCACAAAGAGGTGTGTTTTCAAGTATCTAATAATACTATTTTTCAAAGACATAGGGTAGTCTAACAAATGTAGTTAATTACCCTATACTTTCTGTGGTAGGCTACATTTTTGCATCTAGTCTAGTAATCTTTTCCTGATTTGAAAATGTAACTTTATTTATGAATAGTCAAACCATTCTAAGTAACTTTTGTATTAATCTTTTTAATTAATGAGATAGAGGAACTTTGTTTATGAATTTAGTGGTATTGCACTGAAAATAGAACTAATGTTTACTATTACAAAATGCTTAAGATAGATAGTATCAAAAATATATCTTACATAGACCTAGATTTACTTAATTTTAATATTTCTGTCATCGCTTTTGATTGTGCAGTATTCACTGTCGATTAAATAGAATTGAGTTATTATTTAAATTATTTATAATATGTTCCCAGAGTTACTTGGGAACACTTAATAATGTTAGTTTACTTGTATGTAAATTCATAAAACTTACCGAGGAGGAAAGTCACAGCGCTACTTACAGAACAAAAATAGAAAGTGGACTGGTTACACTGGTTTAAAATAAATTTCAAAAAGAATACAGAAACTGCATACCATACCTATTATTTAAAATACCTGATAAGGAGAGTGGTATAAATGTTGCCTAAATAATTAAAAAAGATGATGTTATTACTGAATACTTCAGTTAATGAAATGTTTATTTTTATTTTTCTTAATATATTTTCCTTAAGTAGGTAAGAATTTCTTTTCTTCAAATAAATGCATCAAGATATAGATGTCCTTGCATTAGCAACAATCCATAGTAAAACAATCATTTTACAAAGCCGCATACCAAAAGTAGACTGAAGTTTGAGCTGTCACAGATGGTGGGTCATTTCCAAACTTGCCTGATGGGAAGAGAAATGGCCTGCAGATAGCCAGGTGACAGACTGTTATCTGATGTTCATTATATAAATGTGAGACTTAACACATTGCTATGAGCTTTATTATTCAAAAAAAATCAAAATTACTTTTTTGACTCTGAATTCTAGGTACTCACTATGTGCTTTTTGGCTTGATTTTCTTGTAGCTTTGGAGATATGCTTAAGTGTCATTTTAGAATTTTTAGTCTGATTTTAAATAATGGTGTTGGACATTGCACATTTAGAAATATTACCTGTTCCTGAAAAAATGAAACATTGTGTTTAATATTTCCATGCATTTAAGAATTACAGTCCAAATAATGAAGGTTTGGGGAAAATAATATTTTTGTCCCATGTGTCCTAAAATAAAACTCAGTAACACATGACAATTATTTGATTGACAGATGTCCAGGAGGTGACACTTTAAGGTGGGCTGTATATATGTGTTGGATTGACTATAAATGTGTTGTAACTGTGTTGTGAAAGTCAAGGATGGAAGTAAAATTTCAAAAAGTGGGTCATGTAACTTTTTAGTGCAGGGAGGGAAGATTTGCAACGACTTTACTACTGCTCACATTTTAAGTTGCTTGAAGGCTAGGTTTTGAGGTGTGCCTGCCTGCATGCACATTTACTCCTGGGGCAGGCAGCCAGATCTCTTAATTTTGATGAACTGACAATAAAGATTTGTAAAGATAGATTGAAAAAAAAAAACGCATAAATACCTTCCATGTTGCACCACTGGTCATGATAATCAAAAAGTTTTAAGCAACTCATAGAGACCATGTTTTTAGATAAAACATTTATTTTGTTGTTGTTAGTTCAACTATCTCTATTGTAAGAACTTTTCATTATTTTATCTTGCGCATCTAACTTGTATCCTCTGCTACCTGCCAGTGCATCATCTTCTCTTAGCATCTTTTGGTTCTTCCTTTGAAAAACTCACGTCAGGATGCTTTTGTGTTTTCCCCTTTTCAAAATTTATATATTTTTCCTTGTTAAGTGTAGGTTAGTTATGTCATTTTGTAGTGCAATTGATTAAAGAAGGCAGATTTTAAAAGATAATTCTCTAGTCAGTCAGAGGGCTGCATATTGCGAGTGATGACTTTTTATTTCTCTTCTAAGGACATGATAACTCACCTAAGTCTGTTTTATAAATCAGGTAAAGAAGTATAAATGAAAATATGAAAGAAAAATCAGAAAAGAGAAATGTAATGTTTGCAACAGAAAGAGCAACAAAATTACATTTCCCCCTTTCTCTCTCTCCCCACTTCTAAATGACTGGGAGAAAAACATGAGAAAGAACAGAGAGAATGCCAAAGATGGTTGCCACTGGCACCAGGATTGGCATCAGACCCTCTTTGTTTAGCTCAGGATGCCTGTGATTTGTTAGTTGGCATCCGCATTGCAGTGTGGAGTGATGTTACAATATATTGACAATTTCCAGATCTAGAAATGTCAATAGTCCTCTTGGTTATTTATACAAGATCACATACTGCATCTCTTCTGGAAGATGAAATAAAGACCATCATGTACTAAAGTTTCATTGTTGACCAACTTCCTATGCTTTTCTTTTTCCCTCTTTCTCTTTTGGTTCAACCCACACTTTTTTTCCTTCTTCATGCCCAGCAGCCTCATCTTTCTGAAATGTGGGAAGAGTTACTAGAGCTTTGACACAAGCTATAGTGCTACATCTGCATCTGATATGGTTTGGGGAAACATTTATGCTTTTTGAAATCATTTTTGATACATAGTTCATTAGACTTTTGCATTATATGGCCATGAGGCAGTATTTTCTTTAAAGCTTAATCTCTTTGTTATTCGGCTACTATGCATATAGTCTAGTTGACCGCAATTCAGTCCATTTTGCTATTTCCTTATATTAGCAAAGGCTGATGTTCAGTATAGTTGTTTATAAAATTCAATGCCCCCCTGCACTTCACCTAAAATGTACACATCATTTGGGAGTAACTGTGTTTAAATCCATAAAATCATTTGATGTTATTGATTCAGGGGCTGCGCTTCGGCTGTTTCGTTGCTACAAGAACCGCCATTTTGTTTGTGAAGTGCCAGGCGAGGGGGAAAAAAAAGGCAGACACTGTGTTTGATGCCAATAATGGTTGCCAGTGGCACCGAGGTTGGCATCAGACCCTCTTTGTCTAGTTGCTGAATGCCTTTGATTCGTTGGTTGGCATCCGCATTGCAGTGGGCACACTGGAAAGTTTTTGACAATCCCTGAATGAAAGCTGCTTGCTTGTTTGCTGCAGCAAATCTTAGCTAATATAAAACTCTTCCTTTTTTTAGGTTTTGGGTAAAAAAATTGTGACAGATTAAAGAAAAAATAGCTCTAAATGGTATCTATTTTCCCAAAGATATTAAAGATGTCCAATGATTCTTGGGCAGGTGGTACCTATTCCCCATATTGTCTTTGTTATTGCATTCATGAAAGCAAAGCAAAAACAAAACCAAACAAAAACCAGGCAAGCCTTGCACAACACACCTTCCTGGGATATAAGTGTCCTATAGGATGCAGGGTGTGCTATGACAAGTGTGTGGAGGACAAACCTAACGTAATGATATGTAATGCATTCATTATGACTGACTGTTGCTCTCAGTCACATCTCTGCTTATTTGTTATGCAATTTCTAATTCCCTCACTTTACACTCTTGCAAATTTTATAGTAACATTTTGAGAGGACTTCATTTTTCCTCTCTAGTTAGAAATGCGTAACAGAATACATGTTTAAAAAAAGAGAGAGAGAGAGAAAAAACTTTAAAGAGGAGACCTATGCCTTTAGGTCTGATATAAAATCAGTTATTCTGGAATTTCTCAATCCTGCATCACAATGTTATGAAATTTTCAGTGCACAATTTTGTACACTGGGAAAATCAACCAGAAGGCTAGAATAATTTTGGTTAAAGTTTCCTAGATAGTTAGCATTAATATTGTTTTTCAGTTAGCCACCATTATCTCGTTAATTAATAAGAAGGATTAGCAGTTCTACCCAAAGGGCTGCACAGAAGGAAGTCTGGCCTATGGGAGGCCTTGAGTTGCCAGACTGTGTCCTGTCTGAAGGGGAAAAAAGGAAGGGGGTGGTGGTGGTGGGAGTAGGGGGGCGGGAGTGGGATTGGCCTTTCTCTGGGGCAGGAAAGCATTTTGAAGAGAGAGGTCACAACACCCCAAGACATTTAAAGGTCTCGAGAGATAGTAACTGTTGTCATGTATATAACAGATTAGAGTTTACAATGAGTCAGCCTAACTGATTTTTGGACTGTACTTTGCACTCTTATTAAACATGTTTTGGAGTGTTAAAGAGAGCCCAGAAACCTCATTGCTATCCTGAAAAAGTAGTTTCCTTTAGCCTTGTTGAACCCTTAAAATTATGATCTGTTGTTGGATGGCCACTTTTGTTGCTTTATTGTTAAATGTTATAATAATTGAAGTACATTTTGAAGTTGTGAAAAATGTGAGTTGTTTACAGGGGAGGTCGTAATCATCATCATTGTATTTGAAATAGAAGCCTGCCTGGTTGTCACATATCATTAGTGAGGAAGCAAATGCTAAGAATTATTTTCTTCCTACAGTTACTGAATTTCAGAATCCTTTTGGGTAACAATTATTTCTTTATGAAAAGCTTAAGTAGATAATTGTTTGCAAGTTGGCAGTGTATTTTAACATTTTAATAGATTTCACTTCATTTGCAGGTATTTCTCATTATGGGAAAAAATAAGCTTTCATAATTGATTAAAATGAGGCTGCTCTCTAGGATGATTTGGTGTGTCTGCATTGTGAAATGCTCTGGGAGCATAAAAGTTTGTGTGTAGGAGAAATACTTGGTATGCATGTTTGATTTAGGGGAGCACTGTTAATTTTTCCCATCTAGCAACTTGTCCTTGACTGAACTTGTGAACTCTAGTGCACATTTGTTTGCATTCTGGCTCATACACAATTCACAAGATAAAGAAGGGCTCTTATTGGCACGTCTTGCTCCTAGGCTTAATGAGACCTTTGTGGGAACATATATTGTGAGATAAGATACTTAGCAATTTTCTCACTGATAAGAAAACACAGTCTCCCACCAGAAGTTCACCCTCTATGCCATGAAGTCCCTGCTACAAGATAGCTTTAGCAGACAATTTAAGAGTTAAACTCTGAGGCCCCAGTTGCCAGCTGGGGAAGCTTGGCATCTGTGTTCCGATATGGCAAACTAAGCTCTTGCATTGCTGTTAATATGATCTCATTTTTCAAAGGGAAGTATGGGGGGGGAGAGGGAGGGATGGGACGCTTATTTGTTACATCAATTATGATTTTCAAATATTTAAAAATATATAGTACCCCACTTTCTGGAGGCAGCAAAGGTTGGTAAAATATTCTACCGACAGCATTAGGCATCCTTCCCCCCACTCTGTATATATAGCACTACAAATTTCATAATGAAAAATATTTAGATTATATATTTGGATTTACAAATTTAGTGCACAGTATCTCTTGTGTGGTAAAATAATTCCAAATATCTCCGTATTTGTAAGAACCAAAATAATATGCATTGTTCAAGAATCATGGTAATTGGAGAGGACTGTGCATTGCAGTGACAGGAGTGATGGTCAGGTCTCCTGAAGAATGCCTTCCTGATGGGCACAGTTATAGTGTCTGTGCCTGGGGACTTAGAGCTGGATAGGAGCCATTTAGAGAGGCCACCTATTGCTACAGCTTTAATTCTTTAAAGTTACTGTTTTCTAAAGTGGTACCTAAGAAGCACTTCCAAACATAAAGATTTGTAATCGATTTGGTAGGATTTTTCATTTACTTACTTGCTTTTCCCTAAATTTGGAATTTAGGAAGAAGCTGTCATAAGGAAGTTAAAGTTGTAATCCTCCATTAACCTTTTCCTTTTGAATTTGGCACTTAAAATTTGAACAGTAGTCCAAGATACCCAGTTTAGTAAGTTCTTTCTCCTTATAAGCTTTCATTCAGCCAGATTAAACTGAAAAACTAGACTGGTAAGCTATATAAAACTGTGCTTTCTAACACTAGCAGTCTTGCCATCACTGCTGGCCAGTTAGAATTTCAGCACCTGAAGAGAGAGGGACCCAACGGGAGGTTATGTCAGAATTCACAGGATTTCTTAAAAATTGAGATAAGTTAGTTTTCATTTCTGTTATCATGGTGGCTTACATGATAATGGACTTATAATCAAAGAAATAGTTATTGCTTTGTTTGAAGCTCCAAGTTTGCAAGAGTGCAAAGAGCATATGAAACACTCATTAAAATGGTCAATTATTAAATACCTGAAAATTATGGGCAAAGGCGATCCCTGGCTCTGAAACTAGCTTCTGGGTAAATGTTTCTCTTTGGTTTGTGAAAGAATAGCATTTTCCAGTTTGAAGTTGATGAAAGTAAAACTTGCGACACTTAAGGGGTTTTCCTATGTATGTACTATGGTGGAGCAAATGATTAGCCAACATAATGTTCAAAGCAAGTTTTCCAGCCTTTTCCCCTCCATCCTTGTGCAGGAGGAATAATTTTAGAAATCTCAAGGACTAGTGGTTATGCGATCGGAAACTTCAGTTATTACGGCTGCATGCCCCAGTGCCAAGCATAGCAAGAAGAGACGCTTCCTTCTGATCATGCTCACTTTTCTGTGGCAACGTGGTATGTCGTCTCATTTTAAAGTAAATTCTTAGGACCTTGAACTCTAATTATGTGATGCGGTTAATTTAACTGAATTTAGTTGTTAGAATTTGGCATAGAGAATAAATCATCAAACTGCAGAGAACTTGTGAAAACTAAGTGCGTGCAGTAAGGAGTGAGTCTGTGGGATTAGCTTGTATTAGATTGAACGTTAGAGGATGTGAGACTAATAGGACTTGAATGGTTGGGCTTTTTGGTTGCTATATTATTCGGAAAATTGGAAGAAATGGCTAACCAATGAGGTGGAAAGTCCTTGAGGCTGAATTGAAAGCCACACATTTTTAAAAAATCTTCAAAATGTAATTGTTCAAAAATGGGAAAGCAGATGATTACATGCATAAATATATTGTTTATAATAAAACACTTAGGTACACATATTCTGTTTATGATGATAGCTTAAACAGGACAGCATTGATGAATCACTGACAAATTAAAAAACTCTGAACAAGGACTATATAATTAAAAATATGGGGTGATGGATGAAGTAATTTTACTATCAAAAGTTGCCTGGAGGTTGTGTATTTTCAGAATCCTATTTTAAAGGCAGTTCAGAACATGCAGTAAGTTATTGAGGAAGCATAAACCAGTTGAAAATGGAATTTGTTTAAACAAGTGCGAAATAAAATAAGAATTACCTTTAAGAAAAGAATTATTTCATGCTAAATACATGCAGTTTTAAAATTTTAGTTAGCTTCGACTCCATTCAAAATAGTCTATTTCTCAAAATATTCAGCTTAATAAATAGTATTCATTGAATTTTGAAATACATGTCTCTCGTAAAACTACATAAAAGCATTTAACAAGCATCCATTAATATTTAGTGACACATGTATATTCTCATGCTGAATGAAGATGAACTGTTTTTTTTTAAGAAACCTGATTTTTCATACTGATTTTGAAAAAATACATGGAGAAATATTTTGGTGCTAACAGGGAATGGTAGAGCTTGGGACAAAAGTCTAATCATGAGCACAGATATTAAGAAAAAGTTCTTTGAAGTAGGGTGTATTCTGTAATTCATGTGAGTGGGGGATTACATTTATGCCTATGCTAATAACATGTCAATATGAAGTCTATACCCCTCTATTAGTGAATTCTAAAGTGTAAAAAGTGTTCCTTCGTAGGACAACTTGTATTTTATTATTCTGACATCTGCAGTTTCTGGATGGATTACCTTAAATTTGCTATGCTATGTTAAAAGCCTTGTTTTATGAGGTCGGTCTCAGCTTCTGGCCTTGGTGTCAGGAACCCTGCTACGTGATGCAACTTGCCTTGTTAGGTTTAATTGACCAAAGCTGATGTGTTAAAACAATTCATTTGCGCTGTAACTTATGCCCTGGCTAAGTTGCTACCTGAATCCCTTGACCTTGACTTGTTTGGGTCATGAA